TGTCCAAAAACTTGTGGAAAAAATATTCCATGGACTCAACATGCCTCTCAGCATATAGCTTAGGGTGTATACTTTTCAAAAAGGGGTCATTTGAGGGTGTTTGTACTGCCCTGGTATTTTAGCACCTCAAGAAATATGATAGGCAGTCAGAAAGTAAAAGCTGTGTAAATTCCAGTATCTATACCATAGTTTGTAGACGCTATAACTTTCACACAAACCAATTAATATGCAGTTATTGCTATTTTTTTTTACCAAAGACGTATCAAAATAAATTTTGGCCTAAATGTATGACAAAATTTGAGTTTAATAAATATATATTTTATGACAGAAATGAGAAAATATAATTTTTTTTCCAAAATGTTCTGTCTTTTTTTGTTTATGGGGCAAAAAAATAAGAAACCCAGAGGTGATCAAATGCCACTAAAAGAAAGTTAAATTTGTGTGAAAAAAATAGCATAAATTTAATTTATGTACAGTATTGCATGTCAGTTAAACTAGTGGAGCACCGTATAGCAAAAAATGGTGTAAATTCCAACATCTATACCGCATTTGTAGACGCTATAACTTTCACACAAACCATTTAATATACACCTATTGGGGTTTTATTTTTTAACAAAGACATATAGCAAAATACATTTTGGCCTAAATTTATGATGAAATTTGAGTTTATTGGATATTTTTTTTATAACAGAAATGAGAAAATAGGTTTTTTTTTTTCAAAAACTTTTTTATTTATAGTGCAAAAAATAAAAAACCCAGAGGTGATCAAATACCACCAAAATAAAGCTCTATTTGTGTGAAAAAGGACAAATTTCATTTATGTACAGTATTGCATGACTGTACAATTGTCAGACTAGCGCAGCGCTGTATAGCAAAATATGGCGGAAATTCCAGTATCTATACCATAGTTTGTAGACACTATAACTTTCACACAAAGCAATTAGTATATACTTATTGGGATTTTTTTCTACCAAAGACTAACTTTGAGATCACTAAATATTTTTTATAACTGAAAGTAAAAAATATCAATAACATTTTCGGGGTTTTTTTCTTTATAGCGCAAACAATAAAAACCTCAGTGGTGATCACATAGCACCAATAGAAAGCTCTATTTGTGTGGAAAAAAGGACATAACCTGTTTGGGTGCAGCATTGCAAGACCGCGCAATTACCAGTTGAAATAGCACAGCACCATAACGAAAAAAAAAATGGCCTGGTCAGGAAGGGGGGGGGGGGGGGTAAATCCTTTGGAGGGCAAGTGGTTATTGAACACAACATTTATTTGCTTCAGGTTGTAAAATGAAAATATCTATCAAGATATGTAATGCAGTGCAAAATGTAGTGAGGTACAGCAATCAGAACAGCAACATTTGACTACCTAATGGTTGTTACTGGTTACTGCGCATTTCTCTTTGCTTTGTGAAATAATGCTTTCATAAGTTAATAAAAAGTTCATAATTTGTTACTTCTGTGTACTGTATCTTGGCATTTCAATAATTTTTAAAAAATCTTTAGCCCAAAACATAGCAAGGTGTTGCTATGAATTTAGCCTCATGGGACTTGTAGTTTGACAACAGCTGGAGGGCCGCTAGTTTGGCACCCCTGCTCTACAGTAATGATTTCTTTAAAATAGCTGTGAAATCATAAACAAGCATTTTGTTCTAACATCTTATCTGACAACTGTTTGTTTACAGGGCTCCCACATGTTACCTTTACTACAATTTTTAAACCCTCAAAATATGTGAAGTAATCTGTAAATCATACATAATCATTTGGATATCAGATTGGGACCATATCTGAGAATCTTAAGCTGAGTATACTTGGGTTTTTTTTTTTTTTTTTTTTTTTTTACTGGTTGAAGTAAAAAGCTGACAAATCCCTGCAACAACACAACGATGTGTCATGCGGCGGATCTCTCCTGCTGTGCTATTTTGACTCCCTGTCAGAATTCATTGATCAGTGCTTGCAGCGATTGGTTTTCCAGCATGCCTATTCAACAGAAGCTGGTCGTTAGACCTGACAGTACACATGTACCAAAAGCTGGCAGGTTCCTGCTGAACAGGCTGATTTTTGGTACGTGTGTACCAGGCGTAACGCACAGTTCCTGAATTCTCTGCCTAACCACTCTGGGCAATGCAGAATTTACATACAAAGTTACATAGTTAGTCAGATTGAAAAAAGACACAAGTTCATCTAGTTCAGTGGTTTGTAACATTTTTTGAGTCACAGACCCCTTTAAGAATCCGGTGAAAGCTATGGTCCCTACCCAGAAACGTTCACATAAACACAGCTTTGCTTGCAGTGAATATACTTTATGTACTTTATTTTATTGAAATTGATTGCCTCATATTTATTTTATTGATATGATTGCCTCATACATATATGACATACACTGTGTTTGATTAAATTAAACTGGTCTTAAAAAACTCACTCCTTTTCATGCAAAAATGAATATAAATGTTGTTTCCATCTGACCCTCACGGACTCCCTGAGACAACTTAGGGGTCCATGGACCCCAGGTTAAGAAGCCCTGATCTAGTTCAACCAGTAGATAATAAAATAGAAATCCTCCATATACAGTATCTCACAGAAGTGAGTACACCCCTCACATTGTTGTAAATATTTAATTATATCTTTTCATGTGACAACACTGAAGAAATGACACTTTGTTATACAAGCTGTACACGTACTACTTTACATTGTAGCAATGTAAATTTGCTGTCCCCTCAAGATAACTCAACACACAGCCATTATTGTCTAAACCACTGGCAACAAAAGTGAGTACACCCCTAAGTGAAAATGTCCAAATTGGGCCCCCAGTGTCAATATTTTGTGCGGTCACCATTATTTTCCAGCACTGCCTTAACCCTCTTGGGCATGGTGTTCACCAGAGCTTTACAGGTTGCCACTGGAGTCCTCTGCCACTCCTCCATGATGACATCATGGAGCTGGTGGATGTTAGAGACCTTGCGCTCCTCCACCTTCCGTTTAAGGATGCTTCACAGATGGTCAATAGGGTTTAGGTCTGGAGACATGCTTGGCCAATCCATCACCTTTACCCTCAGCTTCTTTAGCAATGCAGTGGTCGTCTTGCAGGTGTGTTTGGGGTCATTATGTTGAAATACTGCCCTGCAGCCCAGTCTCCGAAGGGAGGGGATCATGTTTCAGTATGTCACAGTACATGTTGGCATTCATGGTTCCCTCAATAAACTGTAGCTCTCCAGTGCCGGCAGCACTCATGCAGCCCCAGACCATGACACTCCCACCACCATGCTGGACTGTAGGCAAGACACACTTGTCTTTGTACTCCTCACCTGGTTGCCGCCACACACACTTGACACCATCTGAACCAAATAAGTTTATCTTGGTCTCATCAGACCACAGGACATGGTTCCAGTAATCCATGTCCTTAGTCTGTTTGTCTTCAGCAAACTCTTTGCGGGCTTTCTTGTGCATCATCTTTAGAAGAGGCTTCCTTCTGGGATGACAGCCATGCAGACCAATTCGCTGCAGTGTACGGTGTATGGTCTGAGCACTGACAGGCTGACCCCCCACCCCTTTAACCTCTGCAGCAATGCTAGCAGCACTCATACGTCTATTTCCCAAAGACAACCTCTGGATTTGATGCTGAACATGTGCACTCAACTTCTTTAATCGACCATGGCGTGGTCTGTTTTGAGTGGAACCTGTCCTGTTAAACCACTGTATGGTCTTAACCACCGTGCTGCAGCTCAATTTCAGGGCCTAGCCTAGAGCTATAAGAAGAGTTATGTAGAGCAACAATTCTTTTTTTCAGATCCTCAGAGAGTTCTTTGTCAGGTGGTGTGATGTTGAACTTCCAGTGACCAGTATGAGAGAGTGAGAGCCATAACACAAAATTTAACACACCTGCTCCCCATTCACACCTGAGACCTTGTAACACTAAGGAGTCACATGACTCCGGGGAGGGAAAATGGCTATTTGGACATTTTCACTTAGGGGTGTACTCACTTTTGTTGCCAGTGGACATTAATGGCTGTGTGTTGAGTTATTTTGAGGGGACAGCAAATGTACACTGTTGTACAAGCTGTACACGCTCTACTTAACATTGTAGCAAAGTGTCATTTCTTCAGTGTTTTCACATGAAAAGATATAATAAAATATTTACAAAAATGTGAGGGGTAGCGACTGGGCTCACTTCTGAGAGATACTGTGTATATATTACTCTATACCCACACATGATACAGAGGAAGGTTTGATCCAATTTGCTCATGCGGGGGGGGGGGGGGGGGGGGGGAATTCCTTCCTGATTCCCCAGGAAGCAATTGGATATTCCCTGGATTAACTAGCCCTGGTGTTATTACCTATATACAGTATGTTAGTATCTAGTTACGTATATTTTGTGCATTTATGAATGCATCCAATGGGCTTTTTTTTTAAAACAGAGAACATACTAAATATTCACAGATATTAGGAGATTCCCAGATTCCAGCATAGAAGTATGAATAAGCTGAGCATTTCAGCTACAGATTATCTGAACAAGGTTCTCTGCCAGAACTAATTGTTGAGGGGAGTCTATTGCAATGTTCACATTTCTTACTGTGAAGAAGCCTTTCTGTATGTGGAGGTTAAATCTCTTTTCCTCTACAAATAAAGAGTGCCTCTTGTACTCTGTAATGACCTGAAAGTGAAAAACCTACACCATGTTCACTATAGAAACTACATTTAGTATAAATACCACCATATGGTATTTATATATGGTGATCATATCCACCCTCAATCGCCCCTTCTTAAGAGTCACCAAATGCAGTTCAGCTAATATTTTCCTCATATCATGCTTCTTATCAGTTTGATTGCCCTTCTCTGCACTTTCCCCAGTTCTCTGGACTTGTGAACCAAAGCTCCAATGCATAAGGATCATATTTCTTATAACACTAAGCTGTACATATCATTAAGCCTAATTAGACCTGACTACCTTGTCTGGTCTGATCTGCTTTGCTCTAGGAATTGTGATCCACTCACCTGAGTTCTTGCTGTGTTGCTGTGCTGTCAAGTGTGTCCTCCAGCTCTGTCTTCAAAGCTTCCAGCTCTTCACCCAAATCCCTCTTTTGCTTTTCTGCTTTGTTTCTCGCTGCTCTTTCTGACTCCAAGTCTTCTTGTAGGTCTGAGATGTGTGCCTCCAACTCACGGATTTTCTTCAATGCATTATTTTTCTGGGCAATTTCATCTTCTAGTCTTCATAGTGTATAAAATGGAAGCAAAGTTTTAGCAATGATTAAGAAGAAATCTAAGTATAGATGTACAACAAGACTGTAACACAAGTGCTACCATTCATATCTAGGTATCAGACTTGTTTCTGCAACATATATTATTAGGTTCTAGTTCATACATTTAAGTGTTACTAAACCCACAGCAGTGAAATCTGTCTGTATATGCAGTAAAGCATGCTTGTTATACTCACTGTGGAACCTAAGGGGTTAATCCTCCACATTCTGTAAAAAGGATGTTTGATCCTGTCTTCTTTGATCCTCCCCTTCGTCTAGTGTCTCTTAGATATCTCCTGATAGAACAGAGGCTCGGGGCAAGCTGCACATGCACAGTTTCATGTTTATTGCTAGAGTTATTTTTTTTTGTTGGGAGAGTGTATGTGATCAGCACAGGGCCAATCATAACTCTCCAGACAGAGCTCAGGGGTCCTGCATCCTCCCACAGGAGAATGGAAACTTCTCCTACAAGCTGTAACCAATGCTCTGCTGGAAACTGATAGAAGTCACAAGACTTCTCTAACTGTTGATGAGAAAAAGGTATTTAACAGTTTATATTTACTAAAATAATTGCATTTCCATGTTCTGTGTACTGTGAAATAACAGAATGAATGCAGGGTGTTGGGTTTAGTAACACTTTAAAAGAATTGTCCATTACCAATAAGATCAGGTTATCAAACTTGACCCATATTCTGAACTGATTTTTAAAGTTAAACGTAGAAAACATTAAATCTTAAAGATCTGGATATTTGGTACCAGTGCAGATCACAAGATTTATGAAGGGACAAAAGAAATATAGCATAGCCAAAAGGCAGGCATAGTACAAAGATTTTTCATTCTACCCATATGAATTCTGAGTAGATAATGGTTGGTAAAGTTCTGAAACTATCTAATATAGCTGATAAGTTCTCTTCATTTGTATGGGTAACAGTCAGTGAATTCTATAACCTTCAAAATTACATCCACAAATGTTTACCTGTGTAATAGATATGTAATAATTATAATGGGTTAGATACAGTATATTTTGTAATATCCTACTCTGTAAATATTCACATTCTTTGTGTCGTTTAATTTTACCTGGCAAGGGCAGCCTGTAACTCCTCTTCTTTTTTGGCCAATTGCTGTTTGAGTTCAGCAATCTGTGCCTGCAGTTCTGCAATTTGTTCATGGAGATCACTTGCTTCACCTTCCAGCTTTCTCTTCGTTTTCTCCAATTCTTGCCTGCTTTTCTCTTCTTTCTTTAGACGAACTAGAAGAGAGAATAGGTGTCACACATGCAGATGAAAAGCTACGGTTATCATATTTTTAAAATGAAATCTCAGGACACTCTTCAGACTACACCCACTTTTAATCATACCCATAAACCATGCCCCCATTTGTAGTCATAACCATAACATCATGCTCTCATTTTTACACACCCTCACACAATTGGTCACAGACTTCCAGAATAAGAGGCAAATGTTCAAGGTATACAGACAGAAAAAAGCGGATTTCAAATTAATGGCACCAAGATATGCATACATAGTTATGAGAGATACTTTGAAGGTGTTGAAAATGTGGTGCCCACTGAATGCTCGGAGGCATGGCCAATAAAGTAGGTGTTGCTTCACAGTGAATGGTTTGTAGTGTGGGAGTAAAATAAGCCCAAGCATTGTTGTTGTTATCACTATAAAATTATAACCTTTTTCTACCTTTTTGTGCACTTGAATCAACACAGTAGAGCACTATTCGTGATCCTTTTTTAATTTGAACAGTTACATTTTCAGGAGAGGCTTTCAAGGTGTTCCCATTTTTCTTGGTCCAGGTACTGCTTGGATTGAGAAGGAAACACCCAGAAAAATTGTTCTGAAAATGTAACTATGTGTTCAAATAAAAAAAAGTATCACAGATCGTATTCAGCTATGTTGTAGTTTCCATGCCTTGGCATTCACTCTTATTCCCAGTGCAGGTGTCAGTAGTATTAAATGTTTTAGAGTCATTAGTATGCAAAAACACAGTGTAGAGGTCAAGATTAAGTAGCACAGAGTTTAAAGGGCAGTAGTATGTAGCGCAGAGTGCTGGGGTCAGGAGTAAGTAATGCAGAGTTCAGGGGTTAGTAGTATGTAACACAGCATTCAGAGGTCAGTAGAATGAAATACAGAATTAAGGTGTCAGGTGTAAATTATGATGAGTTCAGATGTATGTAACACAGATTTCAGAGGTCAGTAGTAATGCAAAGCTCAAGGCACAGTAGCAAATAATGCAGAGTTTAGTAATCAGTAGTAAGTAATGCGAGGTCTTTAGTATGTAATACAGTGTCCAAGGGTCAGTGAAAAGGCACAGCTCAATGGTCAGTAGCAATTAATGCAAAGTTCAGAGGTCTGTAGTAAGTAATGCAGAGTTCACAGGCTATTTGTATGTAACGCAAAGTGCACAGGTCATAAGCAAGAAATGCAGAACTTAAAGGCTAGTAGTAAGTATTGTAGTGTTTCTAGGGCAGTAGTAAATAATGAAGAGTTCAGGGGTCAAAGTAAATAAAGCAGATTTCTCAAGTCAGTAGTAAGTAACAGAGTTCAGAGGTCAGGAGCAATCAAAAGATCTCTATTACATCTTTTTCTCTTATCAGCTCCTGCTGACTGCGGGTTGGCTTTAACGCAGAGCAGCCGCATATATGTGGCCCTATGTAAATACATTACTGCGCTATGAGTGCGCCCCCTGCATGATCCCAGCACAGTAACCAGTGGGTACCAGAATTCTCCCGATGCATACTTGCGATAAGGAGCTTTCCAATCATGTGACCCCTGTGACTGTCAATCACACAGGTCAGATGATTGGAATGCCCACCTCCGCCTACCAGCTTTTAGAAACTCTTAAAGGACTGTGAGGTGGTGGCAGGAAGGGTTTAAGCTCAAAAGATTTTTTTTTGGTACTTGAAGATATATACAACACAATAAAGCTGATCTTCAATTTGCTGAATATTTGTTCATACTTGTAGCCTCACTCTTCTATTACAATAAACCTATACAATATTGGGCCGGTATCTCAGCATGCAACCTGCATACACCAGAGATATCCCTCTGCCAGTCAGTCAGTGGAAGACAGTAAGAGATGTACCCTCTGGATGTTCATGCTGCCATTTTACTCTCTCTTTTCCACATCTGCCACAGTTCTTCTCACACACCGCTGGCCTCTGAGGAATTATCGGGTAGTTATACCCTCTGATAGCCCCCTTGCACCCAATCTTGTGTCAGGGATGTTCCACATCTGGCAACTTATAACCTTGTCAGTTGCTCCTGGAGCCACTACATTGTAAACACTAACAAACACTAACAAGAACTTCTGCTAATTAAGCCCAGCATGGTACACCTCTGTAACAAAGGTGCAAATTGATTGATTTGCTATGTGTTCACTGCCAGGATATTTTGGGGGAACATTTGTTTCCCAGGGCTGGCCTCTTAAAATAGGAAAGAAGGGCAAACTCACTGAAAGCTATAGTAAACACCTCACCTATGGTTACAAATTCTAGCGCAAGTTGCAAACTGATGCTTATTACTTTATCAAATGAGTGTTCTTCAATTTATTATGTGCAATTTTGGAGTATTTGTTTTTTTTAATAAAATATAAAAGATTAGGGGCTCATGCACAAAGGGCTTAAAAATGGTACTTCTATAAGTGTTTGGCTTTTTTTTTTTCTGCCTGCGATCACACCTCTATGTGAGCCTATGTGTCCATGCACACAGGCATTAATAGGCATACAATATTAGAAGTGGAACTACAGGCAGAAAGAAAACATCACCAGTGCGTTCAAGAGAAGCTTTTGAGCAGAAAAAATGCAGAATGTGCATAAATGCTAGATTTGTTTAGGCACGTTTGGGTGTTAATGCATTCTATTGGCTGGAATAAATTATTTTTCCTGTTGATAGAATGCAGAAACATGCATATATGTATGTGCAATATGCAGACTTTACTGCATTTTTTAAGCAGCTTTTCTCCTGCCAAGAGAACAGGCGTTCAGGGGCTAAGCAGTTATTCCATGTACATGAGGATGAGGCCTTATAGCCATTGAGGACAAAGCAATAAGTCTAGCAAATGGAAACTGAGTAGGCAAACTGAACTTAAAACTGAGTTCCACTCACCCTGTCAAAAAATAAAAGTAAGCAGCTACAAAAACTGTAGCTGCTGACTTTTAAAAAACAGCCACTTACCTGTCATTTGGTTCCGCTGTGTGTCCCCTGCAGTCCGTTTCACCATCCGTCAAGTGGTCACAGTAAGAGAAAAATCTGCTTAGCAGGTTCACAGGCAGCAATACACTCTTTTTTAGTTGAATAAAGTAGAAAACATCTCTATAACCCCCCAGTCACATGAAGCCCGACTTCACTTACAGTGAAGTCGCATGAGTTCAAAATCGGGTGAGATGCCGATTTCAGGTGCGTTTTTTCAAAACATCTGATGTCTATGCAAATCACACCAAAAGTAGTACATGTACTACTTTAGAAATCGGTGCAGCTCCAACCAAGTCAGAATTTCACTCTCCCAATCAACACTGATTTTTTTTCTGCTGCTGCTTTTCTGCTAGCATTAATAAATAGATAGGAAAGTTTATCATATTTACTTGTTTTAAACTTTTTTTTTTTACATTTCTGCAGTTACTTCCTGGTTTCCATGCCCAGACAACTAATGTAATACATCCCCGAAGTCTTCATGAAGGTAGGAGGAGTTTTCTTAGCTAAGCACACCCTCTTGCCTGCATGCCTAAGCTAAGGGAAAATGGATTCCAGGAAGTACTGTAAACTACTGCCCTTATTCAAGATGGCCGCAACCAGAAATGGTAGGGGGTGTTTTTCAAAGTGATTTCTCAGCAAAAATAAAGCATGGAGACATAGATGGATAAGAGAGTTTGCTTTAAATGTTAAAATTGAATTAAATGGTGTATTTGCTTTGCGGTGCTCAGATGCAGTGTGTTCCGCTTTAAACTTTATTACTGTCTGCACCCTCATTAGCAGTGCCAGGACAGGTTCGTCCAGCACCCAGGGCAAGGATGCAGACCCGTGCCCCCTTCCTAATGCATGCCATAGAATGGGTTACCATCTTGTGCCCATTCTTTGCCCCCCTTGGTCCAACTGTTCAGGGTTGGCATGGAGTGTGCACTGGCTCTGCATGGCCAATCACTTACTTTCTTGTGGCTAGAAGACAATTGCACATGCACGGTGTGTTTTTGTGTCAGCTGTGGGTGGATGGGGTGGAGAGTGGGTAGTTGGGGCATGGCATGACAGCAGTAGATGTCAGAGCGGATGTGAAACTGCAGCCCCTGGTTGCTAGCCACTGATGTGAATCTTTCATTCAGTGAGGGGGTGCCCTCCCTTACCACTGTGCCCTGGGAGGCTGACCCTCCTGCCCACCCCTTGTCTCAGGTCTGGTCATTAAGTAGAATTCTCCTCAATCCCTATCGTGGTTACATAGTTAGTCTGGCTGAAAAAAGACAAAAGTCCATCCAGTTCAACCAAAATAAAAAAGGAAGGCAAAAAAACCCAGCAAAGCATGATGCAATTTGCTCCTGCAGGGGAAAAAATTCCTTCCTGATCCCCCGAGAGGCAATTGGATATTCCCAGGATCAACTTTACCTATGAATGTTAGTATCCAATTATATTATGTATATCTAAGAAAGAAAGCAACCTTTTTTTTTTTTTTTAAAGCAATCCGCAGAGCTGGCCACAACCAACTCTTGGGGGAGTCTATTCCACATATTCACAGCTCTTACTGTGAATAAACCTTTTCGTATTTGGAGATTAAGTCTCTTTCCTCCAGACATAAAGAGTGCCCCCTTGTTCTCTGTGATGACCTAAGGGTGAATAGCTCTACACCGACTTCACTATATGAACCACTGATGTATTTATACATGTTGATTATATCCCCCCTTAATCTCCTCTTCTCAATAGAGAATAAATTCAGTTCCTCTAATCTTTCCCCATAGCTCAGCTCTTCCATGCCTCTTATCAGTTTGGTTGCCCTTCTCTGTACTTTCTCCAGTTCCCCAATGTTCTTTTTGTGAATTGGTGCCTAAAACTGAACTGCATATTCCAGATGAGGTGTTACAAATGATATATACAGGGGTAAAATGATCTCACTCTCTAGAGTCTATACCTCTTAATACAAGAGATGATTTTGCTTGCTTTAGAAACTGCAGCTTGGCATTGCTTGCCATTATTAAGCTTATGATCTACCAGAACTCCCAGATCCTTCACCACCATTGATTCCCCTAGTTGTACTCCC